GTTGGTGGGACCTACTGAGATGAAAATAGGGCAGCAGGTGGGAGGTGTACAAAATATCAGTATATAAAATTCTAATTGTACAAAAAGGAAAACAATAAAATGTCTCCATTCTAGTCCTGTCCACCAACCACCCATGACATGTCTCTGCTGGCAACCTCTCAAGGTCAAAGTCAGAAGGCTGGATATGAGTTCAGAGGTCATCTACTCCAGATGTTTCTTTGCCAAATGTTACACTGGGTTGCTCTTTCCCTGGAATGTCACTTCAAAAGGAAGAGCAATGTATTGTTTCCAGAAGAAAGGGATGAGAAAGCACATACATGCTGGCCATGAAGATCTAGAGGCATCACAATACAAGTCCCAGGTCCCTTATTGAATAGACTAGTGTGCTGAGGCCTGGAGAGGTGATGGACTTCTTTAAGGTCACATGGCTAGTCTGACTTAAAATCTAAATAACTGCAGGATAACTGAGGCTAATTTCCCCATTCTTTGATGGGGAACCAGGTGATATATGTTAGAATCCAGTTTAGATCCTAGAAAAGGAATTCATTTTTAAATGGTCAATTTCATCAGCCAGAAATTTGACAGCATTCTTTTGCTTAATATGAAAATCTGTTTTCATTTTTCATTCATTCTTGCTCATTGTAAAAAGTTCAAACTTCCTTTTAAAAACAAATAAAAATGGACCTTTTTATTTGCATGATTATGTAAACTGCTCTTTTTTACCTCACTGCTTACCTCGGATAACTTTCCATGCTGTGCATATACTAGTACATCCATCTCATCTTTCCTAACAGCTGCTGAATCCTCCACTAGATGCACAGACTAGAATTAATGTAACAACTCCCTCTAACTGGGCACTTGGATGGCTTCAAAAGTTTTAATATTCTAAACATACTGCAATAAGTATCTTTTAACATAACATCTGTGGCTATTATTTGATAAGGCTAAGTTCCTAGATTTCGAATTCCTGGGTCAATACTTAAATTATATGCATGACAGTTTGCACTCCAGAAAGCCTGAATCAATCTACAGTTCCACCAACAATGTATCAAAATACTCATTTCACCCACTCTTACCAATCTTTCGAATCTCTCTCAATCAAATAGGCAGAAGATGCTAATTTGTTTTAAAATTTTAAAAATATCTCCCAAGGGTCTACTAGACTTATCAACTAGCTCCCCTGAACTCATTTTTGCTAGCTTACATTTGACCAGAGAAGGGAATACTAGGGTATTTCAAAGTCAAAGTTCTAAGACATATATACGAAATATAATCTATACCAATTCATTCACCAACAAGGTGTACAAAATAAGAATTCTCAGTAAATTCCAAATAACATTTGCATGGAAATTACAAGAATGAAGAAGCAGCTTAAGTTGCTGCCTGAGAGACGAATTCCTTTGAAATATGGGCAATACCCTTGAGGTATTTCAATAAATGGGATCTAAGGCCTCAATACTTAGAAGAGAGGAAAGCTGGTTAATGACATATATATGAAGTGAGTCAGAAGGCAGGATGGTCTTAAAAACTGGATGTGCCCGGGCACATACTCTATTAGAAAGAAAACCAAGTAAGGTGTCTGAAGAGACTAGGCAGGAGTATGATGAAACTAAACCAGGAATATTTCCCTTTAAAAATTGCTCTTTCTGATGTAATCTACTTGGCAGGGTCTTCAATACTCTTTCTTGACAGGCATTAATGACGTCATGATGGATGAGGTGGCGTAATGGGGAGGCTACTAGTAAAAAATGCACCTCTCCCTTTAAAAATTATTCATAGGTAATTAGGGACAACCTTTACTATTTTTTTGAAAGAGAATCTCTAGAGCAATGCTTCTCAAAGTGTGGTTTCCAATCAGCAGCATAAGCATCATCTGGGGACTTGTTAGGAATGCAAATTCCCAGGCCCCGCTCCAGGCCACAACTCTGGGGTTGGGGCTAGTAATCTGTGTCTTAACAAGTCTTCCAAGTGATTCTTCGGCATTGCCCTTGGTGTTTAAGTAATTAAGTTATTTACTTATTTTACTGTCAATGTTTTCAAGGCATTCTTTCCTGTTTCAAATTAGTTAACTTTCTGAAGTTTGGAAAATACAAAAAGGATAAAATATGACAGAAGACATGGATTGTTTAAAGACATCTTCCTAAACAGAATATAGTGCTTTAAACAGAATTCTGTATCTGGCGTTGTGAAGTGCATGTTTTAGCAGGGGACGGGGGCCTGTTTTATGTGAAATAAAATCGCTTTTTCCAGGATGAGAATTCCTACAGTCCTTCACAGATGGTCTACATATTTCCATAAAATTGTATCTACTCTCAGTTTGTTTGTCATTTGACTCATCTGCATAGGCTTATTATGACAAAATGTCATCTTAACCAAAGAAAATATTTTTCTAAAACATCTCTGAAAAGAGATCAAAGGTTTTAACACAGGCTTTAAAGAGACTGTATTATGTTATGCACATGTTGAAAAACTATATGATTTTTCCTAGGGGTAGGGGCGGTGGGATGTGTTTGAGTAATATCTTGTCAATCTGTTTCTCTGCATAGTCAGAAAAAGTCTTTCTCCAAAACTCTGTGGAAGATATATGTTTATATGTTCAACTTTTTAAGAAAGTGTCAAAGAGTTATCCAAAATGGTTGTACCATTTTACATTCCCATCAGCAGTGTAAGCAAACACAAACTTTCCCTCATTCTCACCAACAGTTGGTATGGTGATACGGGAGCTTGGTATGGTGGCCATTCTACTAGATCTGCAGGTGTCTCTTATGGTGATTTTAATACGAATTTCCCTAATCACTAATGATGTTGAGCATCTTCTTATGTGCTTGTTTTCCTTTTGTATATCTTCTGATCCAATTATTCCACTTTTTTTTTGAATTTCAAAAGAAATAAAATGTTCATACAAAGACATGGATCCTTGTTATAGACTGAATTGTGTCCCCGCCAAACTTATAGGTTGAATCTCTAACCCCCAATGTGTCTGTATTTGGAGATGGGGCCATTAAGGAAATAATTAAGATTAAATGAAGTGATACGGGTGGGGTCTTGATACAAAAGGTTAGTGTCCTCATAAGAAGAAACATCACAGAACTTGTGTTTTCCCCCACACTTCCCAACAAAGAAGCAGACATAGTGGGCTGGCAGCCACTTATAAGCCAGGGAGAGAGGTTTCACCAGAAAGCTACTATGCTGGCACCTGATCTTGGACTTGCAGCATCCAAAATTGTGAGAAAATATGTGTCTGTTGTTAAAGCCATCTAGTCTATGGTGTTTTGTTATGGCAACCTGAGCTTACTAGTACAATCCTCAGAGCAGGATTTGTAATATTTATATCATTTGTAATAGTGAAAAATTGGAAATTACACAAATAAATGGGTAAACAATTGTTGTAGGTACATATAAATGAATACTACTGAGCAATTCAAATGGATAAACAATTCATATACACAACATGGATAAATCTCAAAATAATTATGCTGAGCAAAACAAACCAGACCCCCCCCCCAAAAAAAAATAAAGAGTTGAGACCATGATTCCATTTGTATAACACTCTAGAAAATACAGAAAACCTAGTGACAAAAAGCAGATTGGAGGTTATCTGGGAAGTGAGGTGTGGCGAGGAGCAGAAGGAAGAAATCATAAAGTTACAGAAGGAAATTTTATGGGTGAAGGATATGTTTACTAGCTTGATTTTGGTGATGGTTTAATGAGTATATACACAGATCAAAATGTATCAAATTTTGCTTTAAATATAAGCAGTTTATTGTGTATCAATGGCTCATTAACATTGCTTTTATTTTAACTGGTGGAATCTTCCCATTATCTCTAGGAAACTCCAATTTTGTGTTAAATGGATTTTTTTCTTTTCTCCATCCCTGATAAAGAAATGGAAAAGGAAATGCCTCACTCAGAAAAGTTTGTCATATGTACAGGGCTTCATGGCTTTGTACTTTTCATTGTGAGGAGCCTGAAATGAAAAAAATTGCTGCCTCACCCCCAAACCCCCGCCTTTCCATCACCATTAAAGGTGAAACAAAAATCCCCAGAATCAAAGGACATAAATCAGGTGGCAACAAGACTCAAAACTGGAAAAACAAATTATTACACTTGGACCTACCTTTTGTTTTTGCAAACTAAGGAAGCTCTCCTGAATATGATGATAATGAATGAAAATCTGCTATGAAAATTTTCAATCCCTTTTGGCAATTTGTGTCTGGAGGATTATATTACAGAAAAGAAAAGCCTCCAGAAGCAAAGATGCTAAACCCAGAATAAATAAGGTGCCCGCTCATGTAACGCAAAATTTGGACAATACAACCCAAAGTTGAACATAGAATTTGATTAGAAACTCAAAAACTGCTTCTGTTTCACAGATAGCCTGGAAGATAAAGTAGTTTTGAGTCATAGCTTTATGTCAAGTTCATACCAAACATGGCAGGTTTGAATCGCACTTTGGGGGTTGTGCTCTCCATGTTGAGATGGAGCTGCTATTGCAGGGAAAAAGGCTTCCCACAGAAGGTTCTTTGTGGCAAATCACTATGGAAGGAAACTCCCTCCCAAGTCACAACTTGTTCATTTCCGGTCTACTGTGCCGCAGATGCCAGCTTTAAAATTTTTATTATTTTAAAGGTACTATTTTTAAGGCATTTTAAGCATTTTTTTGAGCTTTGGTTACCTAGCTTGGAATTCAAAACTATGTCTGATGCCAAAGCTCTTCTACTCTCTAAATACGAAATACAGAGTAGAGAAGTTTTCTGGGAGGCCTACCCTCAGCTCTGCTCCGTGTCCTCCCGCGTGTCTCCAGGAACCACGACGACGCGCATTAATTAACTCGAGGCTGGTTCCCAGCGGGAGAGCACAGATTGCACCTGCTGCGAAGGCCCAGCCTCTCGCGGCTCAGCTCGGGCTGTCTGTGCACGCACCTGAGGACCCACCAGGGGTCACTGCAGCCTCAGAGCTATTGTGCCCGCCGGTTCCGGACACGGCCGTCCGCGAGGAGGGCGTGGGACCAGGAGCGCGGAAAGCCAGGGTCCTAGCAGGAATGCGCCCAGCCCTCGCGAAGCCTGCCTCCCCGTCTCCCTGGGAAACGGACGCTGCGAGCGGGGCCGGGGCTCCCGGCGGCCTCGTGGCTCCGGCGCCCGGCGCGGTTCCCCGTGCGGACCTGTCGGCACTTCGCCATTAGACTACCTCCGCTCCGCCCTCCGCCCCCAGCCGAGACCCCGCCCAGAAGGGGCGCCCCGGGGTCGGCTGCTGGGCCCTCGCTTTGCTCCAGAGGTTTTTGCCGGCGCCGGGGCCCGACCCAGCAGTACCTGGGCTGCTCCCGCCCGGGGCGCCGCACCTCCAGCGTCGGTGAGAACTTTCCCCGGAGCCGCCGGGGCCTGGCGCCCCAGGGCGCACCCCCGCCCGCCCGCCCACCGCATTCCCAGCCTGGGGGCCTGGAGGCAAGTCCTTCGACTGCCCGGTTCTCTGAACCTCCCGGGGAAGCAGCCCTCCGCCGCGGCGCAGGGCATTCTCGAAGGGAGAGATTGAACTTGGCCCTACACGATCCTCCGAGATGAGCTCGGGGCTCCCCAGACTGAAGCCACACTGCGCGACGAGCTGACCTCTACTCACCGGTCTCGGTAGGAACCCGCCGCCCTTTCCGACCGTCTTTGGGCTTCTCGGTGCCGGCGGACTGGGGAAGGGATGATCCTGGCCACTGCCCCTGCAATGTTGCTGGGACGTCGTGGGTGCCCCCTGACACAAAGGAACAGCCTAGCGCTCCCCGTCAGCGGACCAGACTGGGAGTTGCGGGGTGGGATCGGAGCTGGAAGTGCGCACCCTCTGGGGACCCCGCAGGCTCGGGGGAGGTCGGTGCGTCGCGGCCGCGCTCGGGTGGTGCGCGGGTGGAGGGGTCTTTAGAGCTTCTAGGAGCTTCCAAGTCCGGGGAGGGCCTCGAGCTCTCGTCCCTCCCTTATCTTGCCCCTTGCCCCCATTGCCAGGAGACTTCTGTCGTCCCCAGGACTGCGGGAGGGGCCGCGGCGTCCCCGCCCTCGGAGGAGCCGGAGCCGCAGGATGCGCGGGGACGCGCCGCCGCCCTCCGCACCCAGTTCCGCTGGCGCTTCCCCGGCTGCTCCCGGGCGCTGATCTCCGGGCTTCTCCGCCCTCCTAGCCGCCCGCCCGCGCGGCGCTGGACCTCGCCGAGAGCCGCTCCTGTTGCCCTCGCCACGGCGCGGACAATAAACTAATGCCTCGTGCTTGAGGGGAGGGGGCGGCTCAGCGCTCGGGTCGCAGCTTTCTCGCCCGGCTGGAGACCGCCGCAGCCGACATGGGCTGTTTCTGCGCTGTTCCGGAAGAATTTTACTGCGAAGTTTTGCTCCTGGATGAATCCAAGTTAACCCTCACCACCCAGCAGCAGGGCATCAAGGTAGGCACAGGAAGGGGGCGTGTTCGGGGGTTTGGCAGCCGGGCGGGCTCGGGGGTCCCCGGCTTTGTGAGGGTTGTCCCGGGTCGCGGCGGCGACTGCCTCTCGGCGCGGTGGGAAGGAGCCGCAGCTGCCCCCTCCGCGCGCAGGTGGAGGGCGGACGTGCCAGTGTGGGTTAAGTTTGAGTCCCTTCGTAAAGGAAAGTAAGTTTGATGTCTCAGAGGATAGCCCACGCACCAACTCTCAGCTGCAATCCACGGTCCTGCAACTGAGGCCAGAAATCTTCGCAACACAGGTTTCCTCCCAGAGCATCTAGGCTAGGGCCTCCGCTGCAGCTCCCAAGGAGTATGTATATGGGCTGCACACAGTGTCGAAGGCACGCTCTCCCTAGGCCTTTCCTTGATAGTGTCTTTGGGGAAGCAAAAGAGTTCACGCGCTGAAACACATTTCTTGGGCGGTTGTGATTGTGTGGCCTGGCCGTGTAGTTCGGTATTGCTACGTTTCGACAGAAAATGATTTCCCTTTCTGCAAGCGAACCGGCTCCCCACATTGAAGCAAACGTTTCTCAGAGCGACTCGGGAATAACTGCTTCTGTGTGTAGGTCGTTGAAATGCAGTTACTACTGTTAACCTAGAGAACCCAAACAAAAAGGCTGGGAGATTGCAGAGACCCACTTCCTTAATTTTGCTGGGTTATCTCATAGAGTTGACTACCTGACGGAGGCGTCTGCGTGCCCTCGTTTTGCCCCAGGAACGATGTTACTACCAAGAGGTGGTCGGAATGGGGGAGCGGCTTGTTTTGTTTTCTTTTCTCCTTCACTTTTATGTCGCAGGCATTTTAGATAACTCAGCAGCCAGTCTGGTGAAGGGAAGCGGCTCCCTCCTCCTCCCCAGTAGAGCTGGGCGTCTGAGAAATCAGATTCAGGCTGGCCAGTGTCCTTTCCTAGTCTTGTCATCTCAGCAGTTAATCCTCACGCCGTTGGCCCTGGGCATTTCCTTATGTGATTCGGTTTTTACATAGCTTTATGTGCTTTACAGTCACTGCTCATGGCCAGAAGCGTCAGCTTTGATATGACCATTCTTGGGGTACAGAATTCTCAGTTCCCAGGTGTCATTCTTTTACAAGAAAAAAGGGCAAAAATGACCAGTTAAAGCCACAAGATAGTTAACCCTTTCCTTTAGAAAATTGTTTTGAATATTGTGTCCCCAGTAATTATAATAAGCAAAAGTCAGTCATATTCTCATTTGCTATATCCCTTGAAGGTCAGTAAAATACTTTGAGGGAGGGGGAGGTGTTCATTTTATATTTTCAACTTTTCTTTATGTTCCAAAATACCTCCTCTCCCCAAGTGAAATCAGTAAAAGAACTTACAAGATTATGTGACATTCTTTGGTGTATTGCGCAAATAAAATAGGCAGAAATGACAAACACATCTTAAATGTTTGATAATACATAGATTCTCTTTGGCTTGGGGATAGAAACGATTAGAAAAAAAATAACCAATGATCTGATGCTGAAACAACAAAGAAATCTTTCTGAAGTGCAAAGTCTAAAGTCATCTGGAGTGTGAGCTTCCTGTTTAATCATGAAAGCATACTCCTGTCAGCTGTGGAGCATGTACATTATTCTGTCAAGAGAGCAGTCAAGACTTGGGATCAAATGGAATAATTTTGTCAAAAAAAACATGAATCAAAAATCCTGGTCCATAATTACTTTTTATAGCCTGATGGTGTTTACCGTGCTTTATAAATAGGTTGAAGAGTGGTGAGTGATTCAAATGCAATAGCAACTTTATAATGCTGTTATGTTGGATAGATTCCATTTAAATAAACAATAATTTAAACAGGTTTTTTGTTGAAAGTAATCATTTTGCAACAGGCTTGGCCTCTTTTAGTGTCACAAAAGCATGCCACAATTATTTTGATGGCCATTGTGTAACACAGATGTCTGCTGAAGTTAACCACGTTATCTGTAACTACCATGCTACTATAAAATGCATGTGTTAAGCACCTATCTACTTGTGGTAGGTACTAAATTAAACACATAAGCATATTTGTGTTTAATATATGAATAATGACCATTCTTGGTGTACAGAATTCTCAATTCCCAGGTATCATTCTTTTACAAGAAAAAGGGGCAAAAATGACCAGCTTCCCGAATGTAGAAGGTATTCAAATATTGAATGATTATATGTATAGTTTGTATGTTATTATCCTGTATATACCTGGCATTTTTAAACTCTTACTTTAGTTCGTAAATGAAATAGTCAACAATTACTTCAAAGTTAATAGTATAATAGTTGCTATTATAGTGGCCTCCTCCTGCTATAGTACAATTGATAATTTTGATTATCCCTAATTAAAGTCAAAGTTAAGCATATGTCAATTAGCCTATTTCCCCCCTAAAATTAATAGAAAAATATTTTTGTTTTTCAAAAGTATCCTATATAATAAAAGTCTAATATGCTAAGTGTCTGATTGTTTGTTCAACCAGTCGCTATGATGCACACTGACCACAGGGGGCAGATGCTCTGACTTGTAGGTTAGCTTGCTGCTGGGGTCCAGACAATTGGGACTGGGTGTGACGGGCCTACATGCCCTGGAGCCCTCCCACAGACCCTCCCTGGCCCCGATCATGCACTGGTGGGGTCCCTTGGCCTGGCCTGCACTGTCTTGCAATCCAGGACCCCTTGGGGGATGTCGGAGAGCCAGTTTCCACTGATCCCCACAGGCCAGTGCACCGGGCCTCTAGTTTCCTAATAATTATTTTGAGATGACCCTTTTGTCCATTCTATCTCAAATAAAATGAAGACAGCTAATTTTGCATTAAAATTATATTCACATATTTCATCCCTTAATGGAAGGAGTTTTACTGATTCCTGATAGTTACTTAAGAATTTGTTTGTATTACTCTTATAATAATTCCTTGTGAGTTAAAAAGGATTAATTTAAGTAGGAGTGTGAGAGAAGCTTTATAAAACTCGTTTTTCCTTGTGTACCATTTTGAAAAACACTCTTTGGATTTAAGTGCCAAATTACAAAGTTGGTTATGAAGTGATTTTCTGCAATTTAGATCAAAGATCTCATCGACTTAGGAAAAAATCCATGTTTGTTCCCATGGAAAGCAATTCATTTTGAAGACAGTAGTTACACATCTTATATGTTAAGAATTTAAATGGGAAGTGTTTTCTTTTTTTTAATTAAAAAAAAATAATCAGTCCTTGCCCTAGGCAATTTGGATCAGTGGATAGAGGGTCCCAGGTTCGAGTCCGGTCGTTCTGCCATTCTCTCTATTTGCATGCTCCTCCCTGGCCTAGGCCCTGGTTGGGGCTCATGCAGGAGGCAACCAATAGATGTTTCTCTCTGTCTTTCCCTCTCTTCTACTCTCCCTAAAAATCAATGGAAAACTATCCTCGGGTGAGGATTAACAAAAAACAAAACAAAACAAAAAATAATCAGCCAATTCTGCGTGGCTCAGTGGTTGAGTGTTGACCTGATAACCAGGAAGCCATGGTTTGATTTCTTTCAGGGACATGCCCAGGTTGTGGGCTCGATCCCCAGTAGGGGGCATGCAGAAGGCACCCAATCAATGATTCTCTCTCATCATTGATGTTTCTATCTCTCTCTCCCTTCCTCTCTTCCAATAAAAAAAAAAATATATTTTTAAACAAATCAAATTTCCAGTTATAAAAACAGTTATGGGGTGTAAAGTACAGCATAGGGAATATAGTCAATAATGCTGTAATAATTGTATATGGTGTCAGATGGGTACTAGACTTATTGGGGTGATTACTTCATACGTTATATAGTCTAATCACTATATTGTATACCTGAGGTTAATATATTGTGTGTCAACTGTAATTGAAAAATTTAAAAATCAGAAAAATAAAACATATCTTTATATTCATACTAATGTTATGTAGAAACTTGCTTTAGAGGTAATCTCACCTTGAAAACAGGAAGTCTTTTTCATGCAATTTGTAGTTTGAGTCCTATCCAAGATTTAAAAACCTAGGTTTATATAAACTGGAAGCTGTTACTTGTGTGTTGAGCCCCACAATAGCTTCTAGCTATTTGTTCTCTGCTGCTATCTCTGTTGTTTATTCAAGTTAAGAATTTCTGCTGTGGTTGGTCTCTTGGTTTGAGTAATGTTTGTTCAGGGAAACTTTTGTTATGTCCTTCGTAGTTCTTTGTCCTGGTGGAGGTAGAGATCTTTCTTTCTGTTCTCTTTAGAAGCAAAACTTTATATGGCTCAGACTACCTTTATAGGTTGTCATTTGATTAGTAAAGATTTTCAGGGGGGAAAATCACCAGCTTTGGTTATAAATTTAGTTTTGAAAATTGCTGGTGCAAATATGACCTAGATTAGTATTTTCATTTTAGCAAAATTTTAGTCCTCTGAGTAGTAATATAGTAACCACTGAAGTGCTCATTTCCCCCTCAAGAGTATTTGACTAAATGAAACCAATATAATAACAAGATGGAAATTCCGTTAACTTTTTTAAGGCTTTATTGAAATACTAGAGGCCCGGTGCATGGAATTTGTGCACAGGTAGGGTCCCTATGCCTGGCCAGTGATTAGGGCCGATCTGTGAGGCGATTGGGGGGCCCCTGCTGGCACCTGCCTTGGCCAGCCTGGCACTGCCCGCTCGCCAACCCCGCCTCCCACTGCCGCCTCTGGTTGCCTCCCTCTGTGGGGCAACCAGCGGGGCGATCAGGGAGCCCCTGCTGGCACTTGCCTTGGTTGGCCTGGGGCCTGCGGGCTGGGAGCAGCTCCTGCATTTAGTGTCTGCTCCTTGGTGGTCAATGTGCGTCATAGCAACCTGTCCTTCCATTGGTCATTCCGCCATTCTCTCGATTTGCATATTAGGCTTTTATTATATAGGATACCATACAATTTGCACAGTTAAAGTATATACAGTTCATTTGTTAACTTTTAAATGAAGTTATTTTCTAATCATCCTGAGTTTCCTGAGGGAATATTGTGAGTGAGTTTTGATGCTT